CCCCAAAACCCCAAAACCCCAAAACCCCAAAACCCCTTAAAAACTTCAGTTTCAGATTCTATAGCCTATAAAAACCTCTAAAAGTCCATATCCTAAGGCCTAAATCTACTTTTACCCTTTTTCAAAATACTATTCCTAAACCTCTTTACTTATAAAAATCTTAAAACCTCTTCTTTGATTACAAATCTTGCTCCTCTCTTCTCACCACATTAATCCCATCCATCTTGCCTCCTAGACTGGTCAACCTCTCAAGATACCTACCTGGGCTATAGTAAGGCATTATTCACCTTGGACTTAAGTCAATCCGCATCAAATCTTTGTCCTTAAAAATCATTACACTCTCTTGTTCCTTCTGAGTGCTCACATCGCCTTGAAAACTAGTGGAGGCGTTCACTTTATTACCTAATTTCCGGGGTGAGTCAAATGCAAAGCTGTTAAACTTCCCATTCGTATAAGCAGTGTAATTACTGATCTCAGGAAAATCCTCCTTCAGTGCGGGCAATTGCTTGATAACCTTCTTAGCCTTCTTACGTAGCTTAGTCTTTGCCTTCATCTGTTGGTATTTATTTTAAGAACTTCGCACGTATTTCATCACGTTTCTTCTGAGATCGATCCTCGAAGACAAAATCGTCCGGGGAGATATTAAACATTTTATTTAGGTGACATATGCTTGTTAATCTTAAAATGCTCGTTATTTATACGTTTCTTCAGTAGCACGTTGTGGGCATGCTTGAGCTTGACCTCCTGGGCCTGCCTCTCCTGACTCAGCTCATCCTCAGTAAGATTCCTGATCTTGTTTGATATTTTATAAGGAGAACTATCAACTTTCACAGGACCGGTCATTAAGACTCTCTTCTGGTTGAAATTGTTCTGAATTAGGTACTTCTTACACATTTTTTTCTTAAAACTAGCAGATGCGTTAGGGAAGATGAACTGGACGTGATTAAGGACTTCCTTAGCCTGATACGCATTCTCAGGTTTGTCCCTCTTAATATAGCTTGCACTACCTCGCTTAGAGCCTGAGAACAATTTATATTTGTCCCCATTCCTTCAACTTTCACTACAGGTTAGAGAAAGAATTACGAATTTGTCCGAAATTTGGGCGTCTGTAATTTCTGTGGCACCATCTGGAGGGACAGCTTCTGTTTACCAAATACTTCCATTTTTATCAATCCGAAGCGAAAATTATCAATTTACTACTTAAAAATAGGGGTTTTGGGGTTTTGGGGTTTTGGGGTTTTGGGG